TTGCATCTTTAAAAAAATTCCTCCCTTGACTTAGTAATGCCTTATAGAAATTCCTCCTTTCTTTTCATGTAATTATTCCCCTTCCCTTCCTCATAAAAATCTATTGCCTTCAACCCACTAATAGAAACACTACTTGGGTTTCTGAATCAGTGCTGCCCAAATTGCTTTGGCTCTCAAGTAAACTCTTGTCTCTCACTTTTGGCTTTTCCTTTTAGGTAAACAACTGCCTCAAAATATCTGTTGGTAAAGTTTGAGATAAAAAACTGAAAGGCAGTCTATATGCTATGCGTATTATGGCAAGGTTCTTTTATTTTATCAAATGGATCGAGCCTAAAATCCAAGTTTATTTGAACTTCCCAGACTATGCTAAATGAAGGCTAAATATTCAAAATTACATGTATTTCCCATGGCACAACATGCTATATAGTTGCTCCTAGACTAAGCTTCATAGGTTTCATAAGGGTTGAGACCATATCTCATCAAGTTCTCTGTTACATCCTAGAGCTAGAATGCTAGAGTTTGGGGGAAAGTTGTTGTTGAACTACTGACATTATTGAGACTATACATTATAATTTATGCTAGCTGGGATGATAGTCAATAGATGAATAGAACCAAATCAGTTTCAAATCAGAACTTTGAAATTTTAAGAAATGTGATTTGGGATATATTATAAACTCTGAGTTTCTTCACATAATAATGGGAATAATACTGAAATTCAATTCACAGTTTTTGAACAGATATAATAAAATTAGAGAGGTGAAGTGTTATTAACACACTATACTCAATAAAGGTTCTTTTTTCACCCTTCACAATTTAAAATCTTGCAAATTTGCCTTCTATTCTGATTTACCTGTCCTGTGAAAAAGTTTAAATAAGAAAGTATATGGTATTTTGCAGTTTCCAAACTATATCCACAGATTTTTTCACATGATCTTTACAACAACTATGTGAGGATACTATAAACTGAAGATGACTTTAGGGGGCTGGCTGACTTGTCCCAGATTATGTGGTTGGTAGTGCTGAAAATGGCATTTAAAATTGAATTCTCTTTGCTCAAATTGGAGGTCAGCATGGAGATTTATATATTCTTGATGAATGTCCTAAGGAGAACATTTCATAATTTTGTCTGTTCTTCTCTTCTCCATAGACCTGATAATTGATCTAAAAGAGGCAATTAGAGTGCATATTCTAGATCAAAACTTTTTTTCCCCAAATTATCGGTTTCCTTTACCAGAAATCTAATTTATAAAGGGGAAGAGGAGAAAGTAAGGAGAAGTATTATTTAACACATGGTAGAAAAAGGTCTCTTGATAAAGTGACATTTGAACAGAAACTGAACTAAGAACAGGCCATGTGCAGATGCAACATGTTGCTAATATAAGGATAATGATAATCACCCTGTTTATAACAATGCCTCTCATCTTCCATATCAGACTTTGGAAGGCCGTATAGGAGAAATCAGCCAGTGGAGGGTTAGGGTTAAAGTCTTAGGTGCCACTGGCTTTATTACCCTGAGAAAGTTAAATTATTTCTCTATCTCTAGATTGTCTAGTTGCCTATACTTCTAAAGATAAAAAAGAATACTTTAACCACTGTGTCCTCCAGTTAGGCATTATGATGATAATATTATATTTTTATGGATAAGGGAGAAATGGGAAGTCTCAGAAGTTGCTATAAACAGAAATTATAATGAGACAATAATAGCATTCTTTATGTAGGCTAAAAATGAAGTCTGGCAAGATGGAAATTAGATGTTTTACAGCACATTATATGGTCAAAGACATTAACTTTTTACACAAATTAAATCAAGAAATAGATTCCAATTATAAGAGTACAAATGACTTCTCAAAGGAAGATACCTAACAGATAATATGACCATAACAAAATCCATATCACTTTGTTCTTTGCTCGTAATTGAAAATGATCTAACTTTCACAACCTCTGCTTTGTGGTTTTCTTATAAAAGTGCAACATGTTTCTTTAAATCAAGTGCATAACAATATTTACAACAGAGATAATGATTTGCATATTTCAAATATCAGTACTTTAGATCAGGTTAATAGCTATATAAACCTTAAATTTCCACCTCATCAAACAATTGTATATAGCCCCTTAATCTTCTATAGCTTTCAGTTTACAGTCATTTTCACAGGCAGTGCTATAAAAGCATAGATGATCAGCTCCACAGCCAGTGCTGGGGTTTGAGAGGAAGAGAATAGCCTGGAACAGTTCAGAGAATCTACTCCATTTACCTAGGCTCCTGTCATGAAAAATTTCATATAGTGAGAGGAGTAACTTTATTTGAAATTACATATTCCCACTTAAAACCAAATCTGCATTTTTATGTACTTCTTTTATAGTCTTGGTCTCTCAAATTAGACCCGGATAAACAAGTAGACAATGCAAATATTTAGCTGGCTTGTGAAAGGAGGTTCAGTATATCTGAAAATTCAGTTGTATATGTCATAAACCTAACATGGGTAAAAGTATCTTCCTTACACTGAATTTTATTTCATACTAAGATATACTGGAATTGAAGTTCATACTTTCACATGTCCAATTAAGTATACAAAACTCCTGTCATCTAAGTTCTGAATATGTCAAAGTTGTCCCCTAAGTTTATGGTTTGAGTATTTAGTGGTACCATTTACCAAGAAAGGAAGAAGAAATTTTGGAGTTAAAGGTGACAAACTCGGTTTTAGATGAAAAGTTGAAAATATTAGTTTTGGGAAATAAATAAATCCAAACTAGAAATATAAATCTGCAAGTTACTGATGTAGAATAGGAAATAAAGCCATGAGAATAGATCACCTTACCTAAACAGCTTTTAAAATTTTGCAAGACTTAGCTATTATTCACTGATGGAAGAGAAAACACTGATTTTTTTTTTTTAATTGAAGAAAAAAAGTATGACAACTTGCTCCAGACTAATGAAGAATTTTCATCAGTTTTTCTGCAATTAAAATGGAAAAGAGGAGGGAAGGGTAGGGATGAAAAAATGCTACCAAAGAATGAGCCAATCTCATAATTCTAAATATTTGCAGGAAGGTCAAAGCCTTTGCCACAGAATTAGTGTTTGGCAACTATCAAAATCTTCTATGAGAGGAATTTTTTAAGCTCAGCTTGTGAGTAAAGACTGAATAATAAAATACAAAGTATAAAGATGGACATTATATGTTCTAGATCAGGGATGGGGAACCTTTTTTCTGCCAAGGATCATTTGGATATTTGTAACAGCATTCTCAAGCCATAGAAAATTTATCACCTTAAAAATATTTGGTCAAACATTTAATTAAAGCATCCCTAATCCTTGGCAGGGCCAGACCAAATAACTCTGCCTGCCTTATGTGGCCCGAGGACTGGATGTTGCCCACCCCTGTTCTAGACTATCAAAGGAAAGGATAATAATTGTCTTGTAGATTTTCTTAGCTCAATCTGGATTATACACTAGCATTCTTGGGAATATCACTTAGTTCATATTAAAAGTTACACCTACATATATAAAAATCAAATTAGCAAGTATTAACCTACCAGGTTTTATGCCTTCCCTAGTGTGGACGAAAGGGGCTATATGCTAATCTGAGCATAGGGAAGGCCTGCATGGCGGTCTTGCAAACTCAAAGACCTAAAGTAACCACAAAGAATGGTCTAAAATTAAACTTTAACTAAAAGCAGTTATGATGGGTAGTCACCTCCTAGGCCGAAATCTTCCCTGACAAGGTCAACCTTTACTTTAACTGAGCCTATCTGTCTTTTTGTATCTATGATAACATATCCTTGAAATGTCAGGGTAACTTGTAACTTCCCTTTTTTCCAGACCCTTTGGGGCACAACCAAATGCACCAGGGCCCCTGGACCGAGACCATAAATCCCTTCATTGTTACAGTTAATTATCGACTGTTAACTATCCTGTTAATTATCGACTGTTAACTATCCTGTATCCACCTAATTAAAAGAAGTAGGTATCTATCATTTTATTTTTTTATCCAGTCCCAGAGGTTTCCCCCACTCCACCGCTTTGCTTTCTCCCACCTCTCTAATCTATCACCAATGGATTTCATGTAACCCCCCTCCTCTCCTCCTTTGATTTCAATGTATAAAAATAGATGAAAAACTGCCATTCTCTGGAGTATGATCGCAATCTGGGACCTAGGAGCTCACCTTGATATGCGTCATATTCTCCCCATCCAGGAGCTGCGTTATACCAAGGGAAGATGAACAACCTTGTGGCTGAAAGGAAACAATAGAGTCCTGGATGCCCACTGCCCTAGGCAAACCCCCAGCCCACACTGCCAGTAGTTTGTAACCATTCTTATTCTTTAGCCTACTTCCCCATGCAGTCTTCGTCCTTCTGCCCAATGTAGGTAGCTGGTTTATGTAGGGGGTGCTGAGCAGATTTTCGTGGATGACCTACTGCTCTCCCATGCTGCCAACATATTGGAATAATGCTCATACTAGTATATGATTCAACCCTGTCTCTGCTTAATTGGCTCAAGGAGTCACAGGCAGCCCAGACCCATTGGTTGTCCAATTTCTCTGTACTTGAAAGGGAAGTTATCATTTACTACCTTTAAGAGGAGCAAAATAATAGTTTTTAAAAGTTCCAATGTCTTATATTGTAAACATAACAACCATAATTAAAATTCTAATTTATTCGTGATTTATAGAAATTTTTCCTTGACATCTTAGAATCTTTTATAAACTAAACCTTTAAAAGACTGAACCATATAAAGTGAAGAAAAATCTTAGGTCTTTCAAGGAAAGCTGAGGGGAAGGGAGAGCTAGACCATTTGTAACCTAGCAAACATTGAATAAAGAGGCAATCATCTGAAACAAAATCAAGGAAATTGCTTCAACTGTATTTGCACGAGTAGTGACCACAAAACCCTTTGTATCCAAACTTCTATTAAAAAGTCTAAGAACTTTATTTACTATGGAAATTTTTAAAAGAAAAGCATTCTTTATAAAAAGAAAACAAATGTGCATATATATATACCTACCTTAGCAATAGGGTTCAACAGAACAACACCTGATTTCTTCGTGATGACCTTTTTGGTTGTAAAGTGATGCTCTATAAGTTGAGGAATGTTCGAAAAACCAGTGCCTTCAAATCTATACAAACTCTGGTGAAAAAAACAATAAAACAGAATAAATGTAAAGTCATTGTTTCAGCATGACTACATTCACTAATAAATTAAGTTACATTTAAGAAAAAATATTGTTGTACAATGTTAATACACTTAACACTACTGAGGTACACACTTAACAATGGTTAAGAGTAAACTATGTGAGGTAATGGGTGTTAATTACCTTGATCATGTTATTCATTCTACTATGTACCCTCTACACACAAATTATATTTGTCAATTATTCCTCTATAAAGTAAATATACATATTTATATTATTTCTCCCTTTGTCTTCCTTTAGTCTACTCTTAACACAGAAGCCAGGGGATCCTGTTGTATCATTCCATTACTTTACTAAAAATTCTTATCGCCCAGAACAGTGGTCAGCAAACCGCGACTCGCAAGCCACATGCGGCTCTTTGGCCCCTTGAGTGTCCTAATGCCATTTCTTCAAAACAGACTCGCCCAGGCCAAAAACCAACTTCTGCGCATGGGCCACAAAGTTTCGATCGCACTGCACGTGCATGCCCACACGTGGTATTTTGTGGAAGAGCCACATTCAAGGGGCCAAAGAAACGCATGTGGCTCATGAGCCAAAGTTTGTTGATGATTGTCTTAGAATAAAAGCCAAAGTCTTTACCATAGTCTATACAATCTATATATTCTGTGCTCGATCATTTCTCTTACTTCATCTATTAACACTACCCCATCCCACCAAGGCCACACTCATTTCCTTCTTATTTAATAAATGCACTTACAGACATTTCTTTCTCAGGACATTTACATTTGCTGCTTGAACCAGTTCCTCAGATGGACATATGGGTAATGGCTCCCGGACTTAATGGCAGTCTCTCATCAAATGTCACCTTTTCAGTGAGGCCTACTCTGGCCTCCCTCCACAATAGTCAATATCCATTTTCTCATCCCAGCTATAATACATTTCTATCCTTTTCTCACTGAATTTTCCTGCTTAGAATTTATCACTACCTAACATCACATATATTTTGCTTAACTATTCTGTTTAATTGTCTTCTCCTCCTCCTCTAAAAATAGAACTCATGGCAATATAAGTTTTTACATTTATTTTGTTCATCGCAGTATCCCCCTGGTCTAGAAGAGTGCTTGGCATATACTGCTAAGGTAAATAAACATGTGTGACTGAATGAATGCAATGCATAGAAAATGGTTGTCCAGTTAAAAGAACAAGTAAGACAACTTAGAAATGAATACTAGGAAGTTCAATAACAAGTACAATGTTTAACAGAAAACAATGACATGAAGTTCACACAGAATGAAATTTCAAATCAGACACTAGCATCATAATGCCTTATATAAACTTTTAATATACCTCTTATAACTAGAGAAACAGTGAATAGAATAATGGGACTTGTCAGTTTTCTTAATTTAGGAGTGTATCTAGTTTTCAATTTAAAGGCAGTATTCTGCCATTGACATAGTAATTGGGATGGGCCAATACAGTGAGTAATGCAAGCAACAGTACTTCCTTCATGGGCTGAAATAAAAGAAAGTGATCCGTAGCGATTATTTTATAAAGCAATCACAGAATCAGTGAAGTTCTGAGTCTGAAGACAGTGCAAACCAATTAATTCACTTCCTTAAAGATAAAAATAATGAATTTAAAAATGTTAAGACTGTGTACTTATTAAGCAACTAAGTGGCCAAGAATAGTATAGACATTTAAACTCTTTAAGGACTTGGTTCTTGATACACTCAAAATTCTGAATATTGCAATTGAGCTTGTGCAGAGGTGTATAAATTTCTTATAGCTCAAATGACCTGAAGTTCAATTCACATACAGATGGTTTTTTCTGCATGCTTTAACAATACCATGACTCGGGGAATTCAGACTAACTTTTAAATAAGACTTCTCTTTGGAGCTAAAATTATTACTAATGAAATCTTATGTGAATTCCAAAAGAAACAATAAAAAATAATAATTTTCTACAAAGATCATTTTATTGTCAGTGTATGTTTTAAATATCACATAAAATGTCAATTAAAAAATAAGTATGGCCCTGGCCAGTGTCCTCAGTGGTTAGAATGTCAGACCCACACACCATAGCGTTGTAGGTTCAATTACTGCTCAAGGGCACATACCTGGATTTCAAATTCTACCCCAGACCCAGTTGAGGTGAGTGGGGAAGGCAACTGATCAATGTGTCTCTCACATTGATGTTTTTCTTTCTTTCTGTCTATCTCTCTCCCTCCCCCTTACACTCTCCCTAAAAAGAAATCAATGCAAAAAATATCCTAGGGTGAGGATTAACCAATAAATATATAGTGTATGACTCAATTTTTATAAAATAAAATTATATAGATATATATAATTAGAATATATTTTTTAAATCTCAAAGAATATATACTGAACCCATATGGGGATGTTATTGTGAAGCACACATTCCATGATACATATTTCTGGGTTTCTATCAAGAGTAATATTACTTCTGTTTTTAATACATTTATTACAGCTAGAATTTTTCCTGAGTTATCACTGTGCAACTGAAGAATCAATCACACATATAGATGAAAAATACATAATAATCAGTTTTCGTTGCTATATGTATTTCATAATAACAAGAGAAATGTTATTAAACAAGGAAATCAAACAGAACAGAATAAGCACTCAAAAATGAGAAGGGGATTTAATGTATGTATAGGTTGCCTGAGTAGATCCCCTGAAACAAAATCAAGGATAAGCAGGCTTAAGGAGAAAAAAAAATGAAAGGAAAAATAATTTCTGAAAAAGGTTGAGATGAATAAGCTGATTAAAAACAAGATTACAACTCATTTTTTTTTTTTGTAAAAATACCTAAAAATGTAAGTCATACACTTTGTAACTTTCTCAAATAAAAATAGCACACTGAACCAGTGTACATGGAAGCATTTGGGGAATAATATTAACAAGGTTTGGGATGGCTTGTCTCAACTTTTGTTAATTTTTCAGGTGGTGTCTCAAACTTAGCTTCCTTTACTTCCCCAGTTAAAAGTTTTCATAGCACTATAAGCCTCCTCTCCAGACTGTAGGTAGGCTCTACCATTATATCCCTGGGCCTTAAGAATACTCAATTAATGCTTCCTGTAAATTAGCATTAAAAAGGTTTTGGGCACCAATTTATGAACCAGAAAGTCACATTTCGTTTCCTGGTCAGGGCACATGCCCAGGTTGTGAGCTTGATCCCCAATAGGGGCTGTGCAAGAGGCAGCTGATCAATGATTCTCTCTCATTATTAATGTTTATATCTCTCCCTCTCCCTTCATCTCTGAAATAAATCTATATATATAAAAGCCTAAGCAATGGACGCACAGACCAGTTGCTATGATGCGTTCTGACCACCAGGGGGCAGACACTCAATGCAGGAGCTGCCCTTTGGTGGTGAGTGCACTCCTACAGCCAACCTCCTGCAGATGGCTAACCTCCCACAGCCCCTCCCCCTGGCTGGCCCACTCCAATCGGCCCTGGGACCTGATCCGGGCAGGAGACAGCCCTGATTGACTCCAATTGCTGGCCAGGCCAAGGTACCCCACCCACGCACGATTTCATTCACCAGGCTTCTAGTATATATAAAGGAATATACTGAGTGTGTGTGGGTGTGTGTGGTTTCCTAAGTCATGTATCAAAGAAAATCAGTGTCATTTTTACTTAAACGTTCTGCTTGCCTTCTTTTGAGTCCCTGAATGGTTACAGAAGAATGGTTAAATAATCCCAAGTATAACAATGTGATAAGGCCAACACTTGGAATTAACTGTTATCCAAACAAATTTTGGATTCCTACTTGCTTTCACTTAGTTTTCCATAAGTCCCTTGGTATGAATTTTAAGATAGTTCAAAAAGTCTACAGATTGTGGCAGCAAAACAAAGTAAATTTAACAAGTACATTTGGAGACTAAATCTATCAGCTCAAAATGGACTGTAGCTTATGACAGAAATCTAATATCTGTTGAATGAATGCTGATTCAATACACTGAGCTATCCCAAATTTCACATAGTAATTAGAACCTCCACTTTTGTGTTAATTTTTTTTTATTGGCTTATATTCCTACACTTTACATAATACTTGCTCAAATAGTATTTCCTGCATGGATGAATGGATAAATGAATCCTATCCTATATAACAAAAGCCTAATATGCTAAGGTTCCAGTTGTCTATTCAACCAATCAAAGCATAATATGCTAATGATATGCTAAGGTTACTCAACTGCTCGCTATGACGTGCACTGACCACCAGAGGGAAGACACTCCAGCCAACTGGGACTGAGCAAGACAGGTTGGACATGCCCTGGAGCACTCCTGTAGTCCCTCCTGCTGGCCAACCTCCTGCATCCCTCCCCAGCCCCGATCATACACCAGTGGGATCCCTTTGCCTGGCCTGCGCCCTCTCACAATCGGGACCTCTCAGGGGATGTCAAAGAGCTGGTTTCAGCCCAATCCTGCAGGCCAAGTGGAGGCACTCCACTGGTGTATGATTTCGCACATTGGGCCTCTAGTGAATAAAAGTTGTTATACCATTACATGGAGAATTGTTGCTGTTTTATTATAAAATATTTATTATGTTGTTATTTTAAATTTATCGCCATATCTTAATTCAAAACTTTTGGCTCAATCACTTCTCATTTGTATATTTAATATTTCTCAGTTAATAAGTTCTACTTGGGGTGGGTACCTGGTGGAGGGGGGAAGAAATGAAGAACCTTTGTAATAATATGAACAATAAAGATTGATTAAAAAATAAATAAAAATAAATAAATAAATAAATAAAAATAAGTTCTACTAATGTCTCACTTACTCAGTTTTAAGCTGAGAAGTAGGTTACATAATTTTTATTTCATCTCCTTACAATGCATATATAAATTTCATGCATTTACTTTTTTGCAGAAATGAGTGTTTAGTAAATAAGTGGCAGATAAAAAAATCAGCACTTTCCTATAATAGCATAAAAATTATTTTGTTTTATCATGTGTATTTCCTGTTTTATAATATACAAAAGCAAATATTTAATTAATGTATATTTACTTATCAAACAGAACAAAGGTATTTGAATCTCTATGAAAATCTATCAACATTTATGACCACAAATAAACAATTTTAGGTAAAAACTCTAAATATCATCTTACATCAAACACCACAAATAGGCTAGCAACTATGGAATAGATCAGTAACACTAGAATTACACTTAAATTCAGATACTCTTAGATATGTTTATATATCTGGCTTTGTGAAATTAATGTTTGGGCTTTGTAAAATTAATATGTTTGGTTACACTACAAGGTACAGTTCTTCCTGCTTGAACTAGCTAAAACAATAGATAATCTGTGCTAACATAGTAAAAATTTAAAAATAGAAGGTATACATGTCCATATTGTTCAATCATAATGGCAGTTTCACACCATATTGAGAAGTAACTGATATGCATTCAAAAACAAAGCTTTAAAATAATTGCTAGCCTAGAGTTTGGTTGACAGAGGCAATATTATTAAAAATAACATTATTCATGATCAATGAAGACTTCAAATCTAAATATAGGCATGCCTCAGAAATACTGCAGTTTGGTTCCAAATCACTACAAAGTGAGTACATATATAAATTCTAAAACACTTTCTTACTATTTAAATTTCACAAATAAATCTCATAGAAACAAAACAATCCTATATAATAAAGTGGTAATATGCAAATTGACCATCGCTATAACACAGAAGATGTGGTCAAAGATGGCATGCCCCCTGTGGACACAAGATGGCCACCACAAAATGGCCAGAAGGGGAGGGCAGAGGGCAGTTGAGAGGGACCAAGACTGCAAGGGGGCAACCAGGCTGGCAGGGGAGGACAGTTAGGGGTGACCAGACCTGTAGGGTAGGACAGTTGGGGGCAACCAGGCCTGCAGGGGAGGGCAGTTAGGGGCAACCAGGATGGCAAGGGAGGGAAGCTAGGAGTGACCAAACCAGCAGGGGAGGACAGTTAGGGGTGACCAGTCCTCCAGGGGAAGGCAGTTGGGGGCAACCAGGCTGGCAGGGGAGGGCAGTTAGGGGAGGGCAGGCTGGCAATGGTGGGCAGTTGGGGGCGACCAGACCTGCAGGGGAAGACAGTTAGGGGCAACCAGGCCAACAGGGGAGGGCAGTTAGTGTAACCAGACCAGCAGGGGAGGGCAGTTAGGGGCAATCGGGCAGGTAAGGGAGCAGTTAGGCATTGATCAGGCTGGCAGGGGAGTGGTTAGGGGGTGATCAGGCTGGCAGGCAGAGCGGTTAGGGGCAATCAGGCAGGCGAGCAGTTGGGAGCCAGCAGTCCTGGATAGTGAGAAGGATGTCCCAGATTGGAGAGGGTGCAGGCTGGGCAGTGGGACAGCGCCCTCCATCCCCACCCCGTGCACAAATTTTGTGCACCGGGCCTCTAGTTAATTAATATTTCTAATTACATTAATATTTCTTACAAAGTAATATTTGTATTTTTTTTCTCAACTAGAGTCATCAAACATTAGAAAAATTACCTAATATTTGCATAGCACTCCACACCTTGCAAAGTATATATTCACTAATTTGATTCTCATAATCACTGTCTAAGCTATTAACCCCATTATTTAGCAAAGACAGAGATTGTAAAGTGAAAAACTGGAACTGGAATCCAAGTATTCTAAGTCTGCTTTTTTCACTGATCCACTATTTGATATTTTTACATTCTAAAATACCATAATTTTTATGTCTTCCTCTCTTAGGACATCTATCCCCTCATTAGTGTACAGCTTTTATAATTTATTACTAGATTACAAATTCCTTGATTAGAATATGATAGTCAATCATTAACTATCTGGCAATGTATCCCCTCCGCCCTTTATCCACCCCTTCTTGGCTATTGGTATATGAGAAAGGAAACAGGACCATTTAAACTCATAGATTTACTTATCCATATGAAAAAGAATTTAAAACTCCACAGTCTAAATCACCTTCAAACTCCTATTTTCAACTGAGCTCAATATTATTTAATGAGTAGGAACTAAATAAAATTACATTGGAAAACCCCTGAGGCATTTACAGAAAATACAAGCACTTTCATCTTTAACCGATCTTTGAAAATGTCAATGACAGAAGAAAACCAAATAAAATTTATAAATGTGAAGTTGTAGCAATGTCTTATTTTTAGAAAATAGTATTATGCAATTCAGTTTACTAGTAGTCACTTAAAAAAATAGCACTGAAGACAAGTTATAATTTGTAAATAGACCTTTTTTGTTTCTAAGAATATTAATTTAAATTTCTAAAGTTACATTTAAACTAGAAGTGGTCATAAGAAAAGTATTTCAGTCTTATTTAATGTATAACCTATATACAAATAGTAAGTTCAGAGCTTAGAATATAGAAAGAAACATTTCTATAAGTTACAGTTAGTTATTACTTTACCTATGATTTTTCCTCTACAATTCCTGTACCACTTAATAAATATTGCCAGCATGGTCACAGGTAGTAATAGGAAAGCTTATCTACATTCATTACAAAAGCATATACAAATTATAGGAGTTTGACAAGAAAATACTACTAGAAGCAGAAAGCCAGATGTATGAAAGTAAGCAGATAGGATTATCAAGTTGAAGTGTGAATACTAGGCAAAATTAACAAATAAGGTGAAAATTATAATACAAACAAAAATGTATACACACACTTTGAATAATTATAAAGGCATTGTTTATTAAAATACAATTCATTTTCAAATTGAGCTATAGGCTGTTAAAGTGTGTATACGATTTTTAGGGGACCCCCTGTATAAATATCTCAATGTTTCTATTTTAAGAACCTCTTTGAGTTCATCCAATGATAAAGGCTCAATCTATTTTCAAGTAATTAGTATTACTTTAGTGACTGGACAAACACTGAAATTCTATAGACTGGCAGCTTGAAAACATGTGCCATTTGAAATAATGGAGTAAAAAATGACAGAGACGACAATTCTTCATATGCCAAAAATATTAACATTTTTCAGTGGATAAAGTTAAACAAAATTTTGAGATTACCCTTCATCTGCTTACAGCTTAATAATGTATAGAACATAGTTTAGCAATGCTTAAGTACATTTTCATAAAAGTATTAGAGCAAGTAATGTTAATAGATCATCCTTTTAATTTTCATCAAATTTTATTTATGGTTTATTAATGCCGACAAGAAATAGTTTATACATAAAGGGGAAAAACTTTAATGCTAAATGAATCAGAAAATCTGTTCAATTATCATTATCCCACTAATTAAGAGATTTTATTATCATTATTTAATACAATACTTCTTTAAAAATCTCTCGTGCTGAAACCGGTTTCGCTCTATGGATGGAGCGTCAGCCTGCGAACTGAAGGGTCCTGGGTTCGATTCTGGTCAAAGGCATGTACCTTGGTTGTGGGCAAGAGGCAGCTGATTTATGTTTCTCTCTCATCGATATTTTTTACTCTCTATTTCTCTCCCTCTCTGTAAAAAATCAATAAAATATATTTTAAAAATAAAAATAAATAAATAAATAAAATAAAAATAAAAATCTCTCGTAATACCACTTTTGAAAGCAATTTCAAGGGCTTGTTTTAAGAGCATAAAATTCACAATTTAGAATCTCCAGGGGAAAAAAATATTGATAATCACATTATTTCTACTTTTAACTTAAAATGTTTTTAATGTTCAAATTTAACTCAAATATTTTAAATATTTTGCATTTAAACTTAATTCAAATTTTTTTATAAGTTAATTTATTTTTTATATATTTTATTGATTTTTTACAGAGAGGAAGGGAGAGAGATAGAGAGCTAGAAACGTCGATGAGAGAGAAACATCGACCAGCTGCCTCTTGCACACCCCCTACCGGGGATGTGCCCGCAACCAAGGTATATGTCCTTGACCGGAATCGAACCCGGGACCTTTCAGTCAGCAGACCAACGCTCTACCACTGAGCCAAACCGGTTTCGGCAAACTTAATTCAAATTTTAACAACTATTTTTAATTTACAATATTTTAAAGTACATATTTCCTTAATAAGATTAACATTTTAGTGAGTTTTGGAGCACTATATTTAAGGATTTCAGCAAAATCAAATTAAGTGCTAAACTCTGTTAACAGGCATTTATCAAAAACTATTCATCATTTTATTACCACCATGGTCTACATCAGAATATACATATAAACTAAATTAGAAACGTACATCAATATATTGTATGATAAAGTGTCTCCTTTGTCCATCAGAAAATACAGAAAGGACATATTCACCAGGTTTCCCATGGCTCTCTCGTACCAAGAAGTCTCCTTGTTGTTTTAATAGATCTTGCGCTTCTATTCTGGGAATTGCACCATGGTACCACTCCTGTTCCATCAGGGGCTTCTCAACTATGGACATCCTTTCAGAGAACTTGAGCAAATATTGGGGGGAAAAGAACACTAAATTAGAAAAAATAGCCATTTTTTCTAGCAAAATGTAAGTCAACTGCAAGTACTTCTTACTTATGTTCCTTCCTTTAATTGACCAATGAAAAGTTATACAATGAATCTAAACTTTTCATAATTTTTAAAGAAATATCTCATGGAATGCTGCTGTTGAAGTTTAGCACAAATAAAAAGCCTTCAATATTTTAAGTTTATTTGTTTTTTCTACCTGTCATACATACCTACGCACAATATCAGCATCTAGAGTTAATAATACAGTCTCCAATGCAGCATAAAACAAATCCATATAATTCAAAATTTACCAACCAAAGAATTATGAAAAAGGGGGTATTATCAGAGAAATTTATCACAAAACATTTTTATTTAAATTATTTTTTTATGGAATTAGCTCTCAATTATACGGGCTGTGCAATGTCCATGTCATATGTGACGGGAGTGCTACCTACAGCTTCATATGATGCAGCCCTGCTGCTGTGCCTTCCCATTCTTATCCACATTCCCCTCACTTCCCTAACCATTACATATGCCACATGGATGGATGGTCCTGATCCTGTGCAGCGATGGTACATAAAACTTTAGGAGAAGTATCACTGCCAATGACCAACATGCAATTACAAACGTGGCAAAAACAAGGGAAGAACAGAAGCCATAAGCATGGCAGAAAAAGAAAATTATCCGTTATTTAAGAAGCCTAATGCTAAGACCAAATAGCAGAGATAACTAAGCTGATTATATTTCCTTGAAATGTTCCTAATGAATGACAGATAGAATCACATTTTATGATTACAAGTAAAAGTTTTTTGTTTTTAATTATCCATAGAAACTAAATGGCCCTAGGTGAAAAGAATATTTTACAGGTAAGGAAAAATAATGTGCACCAACTCTTAGAATTCTTAAAATACAATATGCATAATGTCTTAATTTATAAATTGGGAAAATTTGAATTAATAATAAATGAAAGGCAAATTTTCACACATAAAGTTTTTCAGGCTAATATGATAAACTGCATCTAGGGACAAAGTATGGTATCTTTGCAGTAATGAAAACTATCTTTAAAGACAGTCTTCAGTTTTGTACCACTGAAGAGGCCCAAACCTTATTGCTCAAAGTTTCATTTTATAGCACCCAAAACTCATCCTATTGATTAAAAAAGAAAACCTTGAAAAATCTCAAATAGACATCCAAGAAGAGTACACATTTGAGTTGTGATTTCAACCACTTATGATAGTTTATTCTTTAAATATATACATAGTGTAACTATACCTGGAAATTTTTTGTAAACTAAATAAGCTTTTTCCTTTTCATACTAATCATGATATAGTATTTTCCAAAGTATTAAAATTATTTAAACCCAAAAGTGGGTTTAAAGCCCAAATTATATAAAGAATAAGCTACAACTATAAAAGATACATATATACTAGTACATTTACATATGTAGATACATTGCTTTTAAAAACAAATGTATAACCTACACAAAACATTTTGTGTATATTATATAAACAGTTTATAGGTCTTAAAGTAGGTATTTCTTTTCCAAGATTTTATCACAATGTATCTCACAGCAAATACTTGTTGAAATATTTCCAAGTCTCGCCTATGGTAAAAGTGTTTCAAATGTGTACTCTTCTTAGAAGTCTACTAAAAAATCAATAAAATAAATTCAGTTGTCAGTTCTTTATAAAGAACTTGTTTTCATCATTATCTCTCAAAAAGTCCAAATAACAAACAAGAATGTCATGTGCTAAATTTCTTGTCCTACTTCAACCTATCTTTCCAAATTTGATTTATTTAAAATTGGGAGAAAGCAATACCCAGATTATTTAAGTAAGATGGGCATTTAAAGTACAAAAGCTCAGCTAATCCTCTGAGAAACTCATTGAAGGTTGTGAGGTAAGAAATATATTTGGTGAGAAAAATAATCTTTAAAGAGCATTGAAGTCTGTTTTTAAAAACAAATGAATAAGAAGAAACTTGTATTGCTATTTCATTGCTTTTCTCTGGGTTTATTAGCTTCTTCTGGGTAGGAAGGGAAGCTCAGAAACCTGTTACTTCCCAGCCCCTAAACAATGCCATTAAGAAATGTAGGTGGAAATTACTACGTATTTGTGGATGCAGGGAAATGTCAGACATGTCCCCTGTCTGGATCTATCAGATATTTCAGGGACTTCTCTGGAAGCATTAAAAGGAAAATGTTTATTAATATGACTTAAATAAAATTCCAATGTAATTTTGCAGGCTCCATAGAATATATGATGTAGGATGTATCAGCAACAACATCCAACATCCTACGAGCTATCATAATTACTCATTACCTCAAATGTCACATCTTTCTAAGCCTCAGTGGAAAAATAATTTTTCTCTCTTGATAGGTTACCTAAGTTTTTTGCCAGAAATATAGTGGAGTGGAAGCCTTTTTTTTAAATTACTTTTTTAGTAATTTTTTTAGAGAGAGAGGAAGGGAGATAGAGAGAAAGAAACATCAATGGGGAAAAAAACTTCATCTATCGGCTGCCTCCTCTTCGTCCCAGATATATATCCTGAGCAGGAATTGAACGTGACCTCCTGGCTCAACCACTGAGTCACATCAGCCATGCTCAGTATTAGTTTAGCATGATCTGGGTCACTTGTTTTAATCATTTGAGCAAAAATATAAAATAATAGATTTGCTCCCTGTGTAGTTAATTTATAAAAAATAAATCCTGATTAGCCTATCTTCAAAATTACATGTGATGATGCTAATGACTCAAAAGTTGCAAGTTTGAGCAGATTATTCCATCTTCCTAAACACGCCTGACTGTACAGGAGAATTCAGCGTGGGTATAGAAATAATATGATAAAAAAAATGTATTTTCTCTGTTGTTTTTCTAAATCTTAGTGTCTGGGGGGGGGGAAGTTGGTTGTAATTTTAGACTTTAAGAATAAAACAATTAAGGTTTAAAATATAAAATATTCAACCTGAATTAAATACATGCCTTATTAGAGGAGATAAAAAGTTGCTTTGCTAGACTTGAAGGAGAACTCTAAAAAATACAAGCAGTTTATCATATTATGCATAAAAAATTACAGTGCCCTATGAAAACAGTAAAAGCCAAGCATTATGATGCTAACATTATAACAAATGTACAAGTTAAATATAGCTGAATTATAATTATCTAATTTTCTAAAAAAGAAGCAACCAAGCAAATCATACTGAATATATTATTCTATTTAATGGAAGCATATTTTTATTTTCCAATACTTTTACTTCCTAAACTCTTAAAAAGTAATTCGAAAATAAAAACCCTAAGCAAATATATGAATTTTAAGAAGACAAAAGTTAAATATTCTTCTGATGTCTAAAACAACAATTATTTGGACCAAAATGTGCTTTATTCTAAAATATTTAGAATATTTAAAAATTTTTAAAGAACATTTTTCAAAGAGTGCTGCAATTAGAAGGGTGTTAATATATAACTAGCACACACAAGGGGCTGTAAGGTGAAGCTCAAAGTTGTTTGCTCAACCACATATTATAGAACTTATCCAATAAAAAGATGGCTCTGGAAAAGCACCATATTCTTGACAGAACTAGAATAGATCTCATTAAAAACAACGTGATTTAAAAGACTTCCAACAGAACCTTGACCAGTGTGGCTCAGTTGATTGGAGTATTGTCCCATGCACTGAGGGGTCACGAGTTCATTTCCATGTCAGGGCACATACACAGGGGGAGCACCACTCAGCCAAAAGCCAGGCTCAGCCAGAAGCCTCTCCTGCCTCCATAGCAGCACTAAGCCATCAGTGGAAATCCCCCAAGGGTTCCCAGACTGCAAGAGGGCCCAGAATTATGTGCATCGGGCCTCTAGTTCAGTCATAATAAGGATTAACCTTGAAACTATTACACCAACTGAACAAAAATAGACAAAAAAGGTAATTATTATATAACTCTATTTATGTGAAATATCCAGAATAGGCAAATCCATGGAGATCAAAAGTGGATTAGTGTATGTCAGAAAATGGGAAAGGGGAAGGGGAACTAATACTAATACTATGAAGTATCTTACTGGCAACACTGAAGTATTCTGCAACTACAGACAGTCCTCAGGTTACATCAGACTTGACATATGTCGTTTCATGATTACATCGCTATCTCCATTTATTAAAAAAAAAAAAAAAAAAAAAAAGTTCCACAAAAACCAAGATGGCAGCATAGGTGAACACTTAAACTGCTGCCTCACACAGTTTCAAAACTACGTCTAAAAGACAAAACACACACCATCCTGGACCACAGGAAAGTTACTTCGTGGAAATGCTAGAAGGAACGAGGAAAGTACATTGAAATTCAGGAGTGGCAAAAGGCTGAGATTTGTAAGGGGTGTGCAGGAGGCAGCTGATTGATGTTTCTCTCTCATCCATGTTTCTAGCTCTCTCTCCCTCTCCCTTCCTCTCTGTAAAAAATCAATAACATATATTAAAAAAAAAAACTATCTCTAGAACTTGTAATAAATTCTTAATCACATCTCCTATACTTATTTTTATGTCAAATCATAATAAATCAAGTGCTAGGAACTACTACTTGTCTGTAAAACTGTCGAACAATTACTTAAGAAAATATGGGTAGGAAATAGGACTTGAGAGTGACTTACTCTATCACAGTGTTTTTCAACCTATTTTGGGCAAAGGCACACTTGTTTCATGAAAAAAATCACGAGGCACACCACCATTAGAAAATGTTAAAAATTTTAACTCTGTGCCTATATTGACTATATATAAAGTAATTCTCTTGAATAGGAATCAAATAAACACAAAGAAAGTATTTTATAATTACTTTATTATGAAATATTAAGTAAACAAAATAGTGAAAAATTATAAAATTCTTGTCTTGTCTGCACCTACAGCACACCAGGCAACATCTCGCGGCATACTAGTGTGCCGCGGAACAGCGGTTGAAAAACGCTGCTCTATCATATTGCTTTGACTTACAATTATTTTTATTTTCATTTGCTATATAATGCCATATGAGATGGTCTGCAATAGTTCACAGGTCCCTCCCTATTCCCACAGAACTTCTGTGTACAGGAATGACAATGGCAACATCAAAGGGTGAAATATAAGTAGAAAATTTCTTTTATATAAAATATAATTTTATTCTTTTTGTTAAAATACCTAACTGACTTACTTTTCATATAAAAGATTATTTTTGGGGTAAATACTTATGGGAACATGTTTCATATACTCAAAAGGAATTATAGCAAACTAACCCAAAATATGAATGGAAATTTAAGTAATCTATGTTTAGGAAATAATTTCTTTTTCTAAATGAAACTAGGTCACAATGTCTTAAAAAAGAAATTTTAAAAGGTAAGAAAAATATTAAGATATTATTAAATAGAAACTTACAGAGATGGGGAAAGCATATAATTACTTACATTGAATATTGTTGCGTTGGCCAGTTACAATTGTAAGGCTCTTATTGTTAATAAAACATGGCTAGAAAAATTAAGTTTTACAGGTAATGAAGTGAAAAATATACTTTGGAGTTTTACTATATAAAGGGGATAAGAATATTTTTTATCTTGTTTGGCTATATAGCCACTATTACTAAAGATAACTAATGTTCTATGCACCATTGCAATATGCCACACCCAAATTTCAAACAGATTTCAATTTTATAATTAATGTGCGAAAAATTATGAACACACATATAAAATGATACATGTAAAAGTTTATATATAATAATCTGTATTATAAAAATGTTTCACTGGAAAAGAAATCTGTTTATACTATTCTTCTAACCAACTACAAAAGTTCATAAAATGTTGCCTGTAACATTTATTTGTAGTACAGGTAATTTATTATACAAGTTTATTTCTTTCCTCCTTGCATCAATGTTACACAGGGTTTTATTATATACATGCATGCAGAGACTCAGATACATACAAAAAGTTTAATTATGTACTCACTTTTCCATTTGTAAGGAAAGATATACATGTGATATTCATTGGTATATCAGAAAGAACTAAACAATGACTATTTTCAGTAGCACAAGGAATTCATCCTACTTACTGTTGAAGAGCCCAATACAGGTTTTGGAGACCTAATTATTCCAGCAATTGAATGACGAAAAGACTCAAGTTTGGATACCCTCTCCTTCCTTTCCTGAAGAGATTAAAAAAGAAGCTTTCAGCAATAGTAAACATCCAATATACATACACAGAGATGCTAAATATTAAGGTATTTATTCATAGTTCATGTCCCCCTACCATGTCTTCCAATAAAATAAAATGTAAATTTCTTAACATTAAAGATTACAAATAACAAAATGCATATAGACTCTATAGCATTTGACTTTCCTGTTCCCTCAATAAATGTTGATTAGGGTAAAATAAAAAGGAAATAGAATTTTTGTTCATTCATAAGATGAACAAAAATAAGAAATACAAAGGAAATTGATGGCGAACCAAATATTAACTGAGAGAGATACAAGCTACAAAGAACCAGTCTCAAACAGAAGATTCAGATACCACTGTAGTCTTGAGGGATTTTCAAGGAAACAAAATAGTAGGGGAAAAGCAGGAGGAGAATTACATAGAGCATATTTTTAGACAGTGAATTCCACTTAAGTAGCTGGAAAGTTTCCCAAAGATTTACATGATGATGACGATAACAACTACAACAATGATGACAACAGAGGAGGAGAAAATAAAATGAGGAGATAGTGGCAGAATGACCAAGCAGGCAAGTCCATTCAGATTGCTATTTGCCATGGAATGTACACTTTTGAGTATCATACACGACAGCTGAAGGAAACTTTTCTGTAAGATTTCAAATCTGTAAATTCAATCTTACAAATGCAAGTGAATGAGATAAGTGAAAGAGTAGAAAAGAAGAGAAAGAAAATAAATAAATGAGAAGTAGAAGATTAAAAAAAAAAAAAGAACAATGGAAAGCATGTGTGAGCATTTATAACGTAAGCATCAATAATGACTGCATATCAACTGGTACTCAGCAGCAGACAAAAGAACAAGATATACTATTGCCAACTACAATACTATTGTATATTTCCATGTCTTTCATACATAGTGATGATCAGTATTACTTGTCAGTGGAAAATAACTACAGCAGGCCACAACTAACATATTTTGTTTCCTATGTCTCCAATACCTAGTGTATGTCTCAGAGACATTTTGGCCATATGCTACCTAACAGATTCAAATTCAAATCTGAAATCCAACTTTTCTCTCCCCATTTACTTACTTTTATTGTATTTACTTTTCATTTTAATAGGTACAATATTAATAGTTCTTATTATTCTACTAATATATGCATATTAATAATTTAAAATAATCTTATGATAATCTAACAGAATAGATCTCAACATCTTTTTCATCAATTTACTTATATAACTTACAACCCAGGACTGCTGGCACCTAACCACTCGTCTGCCTACCTGCCTGATCACCAATAACTGCCTCTGTCTGCAAACCTGATCACCCCCTACCTGCCCTCCCCTGCTGGCCTGATCACCTCTAACTGCCTCTGCTTCAGCCCCGCCACCGTGGCTTTATCTGAATGACGTCTGGAAGATGTCCAGTCTAATTAGCATATTATCCTTTTATTAGTATAGATAATCAAAGGCAAATAAAGTTTATAAAACACTTTAACTAGTATCAGCTCACATGGTGCCCTGATATTTGTATTTCTACAAATAAGACATGAGATTCATTGGCCAAAGCTCCACTATATCTAGTAGTACATATCTGCTTTAAATAATAGTCTACCTAATAATAATACATCATGCTGAGCTAAATTCACTGACAGGCTGATTTTTGTATCAATGAATTAAATAGGTACTTAAAAAAATATGTTAATATTTAAAAGCTTCCTTTAAATATATAAATGGAGTATCTAACTCTGCTCGTTGGCCTGCCAGGGCTGGTAATGATACACTTATTATACCCTCCTCAACTAGAGAACTTTCTCTAGATTAAGGAGACAGGATTTCATTAGGACAAAGGACAGCCATTCAGAGTCAACATAGTTGGGGGCCAGTGTAGGGGAAAAGAGAAGCAATGTTATAAAACAATACCTTCTGTTATGAAATAATATTTGGATGCTAGGCCCAGAAAAACACTATCAGTAGAGCTACAAAACTATCTTGAAAGAAAACTTCTAGATGCAGTATCAGTTTCATATCTCATTTAAGAATAATTTTTCATTATTTTAAAATTAAATGAAGGTCTCTCGTTATATTTATGATATCCTATCTAATAAAGAGAAAATATGCTAATTAACCATCACTCCATCACAAAGATGGCTGCACCCACAGCTGAGACCAAGTTCTTGTAAGGAGCCTTAAGGAGCAATCAGCAGGGAACTGAGGCTACACCCTCCCCCACCTGGCAGGGCTTAATAAGGGACCTCAGGCCGTGCCCCCTGCCCAGAGGGACTTGATGGGGGACCTCAAGGTGTGCTTCCAGTCCTGATGCTGTGCTAGGGGATTTCAGGCTGTGCCGCCCACCCAGAGAGACTTGACAGGGACCTCAAAGTGCACCCCCAGTGCTGGGTCAGGGGAACCAGGTGGGGTTTGTCAGGGGACTTCAGGCCATGCCCGCATCTCCACACTAGGCCAGGGGACCCCAGACTGCACCCCCTGCCCGGTGGGGCTTGACAGGGGACCTCGGGCCTCACCCTCCACCCCAGCACTGGGCCAGAGTACCTGAGGCTGCACCCAGCTGTCTGGCTGGGTTGACAGGGGACCTCAAGGTGCACCCTCAGTGCTGGATCAGGGGAACTCAGGTCACGCCCCCGCCCCGCAGGCTTGATGGGGGACCTGAGGCTGCACCCTCCTCCCGGTGCTGGCCGGGGGACCTGAGGCTATGCCCCCCAGCATGGCGGGTCTTAAGAGGGGACCTCAGGCCATGCCCCCAACCCAGTGGGGCTTGACAGGGGATCTCAGGCCCTGTCCCCCACCTGGTGGGGCCTGACAGAGGACCTCAAGGCATAGCCCCCGTCCTGGTCAGGCCATGCCCCCATCCTGGTGCCAGGACAGGGAACCTGAGGCTACACCCTCTACCTGGCAGGGCTTGACAAGGGTGGGACTGGTCGGGTCTGGATCTAGCACAATGAGGGTGGTAGGAGCGGCTGGATCTGGATCTCACACAATTTGGAGGTGCATGCGCGTGGCCAGGGACTTTACTCTGGGTCCCGTGGTGAGCCCCAGACTCTGACAAGAGGAAGGTTTTAATATACATTTTACTAATTTTCTTTCATCTCTCACACAATATTAAAGGGCACAATATTAAATTATTTCCTCTAATAATTCCCCTTTTAATGTGCACGAATTTTGGAGCTATTTATGCAAAGCACCATGAAATTTGAAGGGATTGTTATACCTACAAGAAATTATAATACCAGAGAAGATTGTCTCCTGAAAAAAATTCTATGCTGTTGACAATTCCAAAATATAAATGAAATACTGCAGATATCGATATGTCCTTCATATAAGGAATGTATCTTATACGATAAAAGGCTAATAATCGACCAAACGGCAGAGTGACAAGTCATTATGATGTACACTGATCGCCAGGGGGCAGACGCTCAATGCAGGAGCTGCTCCCTGTTGGTCAGTGAGCTCCCACAAGGGGAGCCCCGCTCAACCAGAAGCCAGGCTCACAGTTGGTAAGTGCAGCAGCAGTGGTGGAAACCTCTCCCACATCCACAGCAGTGCTAAGGGAGTGGGCCTAAGCAGGCAATCAGACATTTTCCCGAGGGCTCCTAGACTGTGAGAAGGCACAAGCTAGCCTGCATGACCCCCAAAGTGCTCAAATTTTGTGCACCAGGCCTCTAGTTTATAAATAAACAAATAACTTAGTCTTTTGGAGATGTTGATTTGCTGGGGAGAATAACGGATGCATAGTTTCTATTACCATCAGGATATAAAATTTAAGTATTAAAACCGTTTCTAAATAATTTACCTTAGCAATTGGGTTCTATCTGATGGCAAATCATTTTAGAAGTATTCACTGCCTAATAAACTGGTTTGTCATGCTGTCTGTTTTCTTTAAATATTAAGGAAATTTATTAAGAGAAAGCCCCCTTGCTTAGTCAAGCATATTCATAAATAATAAAACTGGAAACCGGATGTGCAAAAGAATCATTTGAATGATTAAAATTTTGTCTTAAAATAACAATGCTAAGAAAATTTACAATATAACAGAATAGTATTTGGTGAACCATAGGTTGTAAAATGTCAGCTCATTAGGCTTGCTTTTTTTTTTAACTCTATATCTCTTAAATAAGATGACATCTCTAGGGAAACAGGACCCAAGCAGGAGGGGATAATCAGTAACTTTCCCATTCAATATCTAAATACAATTCATATTCCATCATGATTTTTCTCAAATATCTGAGCAAACTGGCCAAAGATATTATTTTATAAATTATCCAGTAGTACAAGATATACACACATTTCCTTATGAGGATCTCACTGACTCAACAATTTTAGACCTGATAGACTTTGCTCAGTAAAAAAATAAAATAAAATGATTTTTTTTTTTAAGTATACTATTATGAGTTAAATTATCTAGACTCATCTAAACTGAAATTTTGAGATTTTGCTTTTAAAACAGAGGGATTTCCTTGGCCAGTTGCTTAGTTTTTAGAGTGCTGGCCCATACAGCAAAGGGTTGCAGATTTGATTCCCAGTCAAGGATATACCTTGGTTGCAGGTTCAATCCCTGGCAGGAGGCAACCAATCCATGTGTCTCTTTTACTCTCGCTCTAACTCTCATTCTCACTCTTTCTTCTTCTCCTTCCTCTCTCCCGTCCTCCCATTCTCTCTAAATAGTAATGGAAAAATATCCTCTGAAGAGGATAAATAAATAAAACAACTGAGGTATATAATGATAAGATAGTAAATCTTTAACTTGTAAACATTAGCTACCCTAAACATTAAAACAAAACAAACAAACAAAAAATCACCCTGAAATAAAGTTTATTAAATCTAGAAAACTGGCCGAAAATTGCATTATTCTCATAAATTCTATAGAGAAATATTAAAATGTCCATATATGCACTTTTTAAATAATCTTTCCTTTCCTGCTCCAGTTTTTAGACCATATCTCTCACTAAAACAACACAGTGCCCCAGACCCATTG